TACCGTCCTACTTTCTCACCTAAAAAGTTCACGGGTCTTAGGGCAGCAGTACCTGGGTGCCGTCTCTCGACTCCGCCCGCGCTGCCCTGGAGATTTAGCTTCCGGCTAGTAGTGCGTTAGCTGTGGTCAGGCGGAGGCGCGGGCGAAGTATGGCGTCGGTGCTCGGGCATCACTACCCTCCGGCCTCGTTCTCGGGCCCTTCTGATGGTGAGCTTGGCAAGTGGTTCGCTGCTGCAGCTGCGGAACCATTCAATTGGCACATGACAGGGACTAGGGTTCAGAGGGGTAAGTATACAGCGTGTCTTTTATTCGCCAAAGGGGTTCTCACTCTTCCAGTGTCAAACCACTTCATTTCCAGTGCGTAGCCAGTAGTTGCCTTCTCCTTTATCACGCATACTGCTATCAAAGAGTTAACAACCTTTATCCCTTTCCACGAGGCGGCGACTGTTTAATGGTAAATGGCACGGTAACCACGCGCGTTGTCCAAGAATCAACTGACAGCTCGGCTACCGCCCAGGCCAATCAAGCATTCTACCCTCCGGGGACGGTAACCTGATAAGCAACTCCTGAGCAGAGCAGACAGAAGTCGTTCTATAGCCCACTACGATTCTGAATGGGAGTGGAATACGGTGCAAAGAGTTTGATCAGTGGCAAAGGCTTCAGCCTTACATATCACTTTCCATCCCTATGAGCCCGTGCTAACACAATCACATCTCTCGTCATTTGGTATCATTCTTTCAGCACACGCATACGGTCACGGGTCCCTTCTCACCCTCCTATTGTCTGCGAAAAAAGGATGTCAGTAGAATCCAGGCATCTTCAAGCTCACCATAGTACGAAATATGGCAAGATAGATTGAGGGAAAACGCACATTTTTCGACTTGTTTCATTACGATTTTTTCGAGCCCTTCGCCTGTAAATCAGTATCCTTAGGAATACTTATAGAATTTTTCGTCTAAGCGTTTGCTACCCCTTTACGAGCAACCGCTCTTTCAGCCATTGAGGCTTATTGTCCTGCCTATGCACCCCTATATTTTCACTTTCCTGCTCATGCTCACTTTCTTTAAGATATGCGGTTCATTCAACCTGGTACCTTTTCTTCGATCGAAAATGCTTCATGCCGCTATTCATTCGGATTTCAAAAGGTTTGTGAATTGTCTCATTCAGTTCCACCTCAATATACTACAGTAGCTAAGATTTTTCTCCATAAACGCCATTAACCAACTTGAACTCTGCTCTTTGACACAACACTAG